CACTACCCACAGATCACTTGTCAATCAAATAGAGTGGGCAGGACTTGACTTTGCAGGTGGCACTGCAGAAAGTCAAACTCTTTCATCTGCGTTGACTTTCCTTACTCATGCCTTTTACTCCAAACAAAGCTGAAGTATAAATTGTATAACAGCCTGAGAGACAAACCAAACACCAGCTGTATGGAACAGCAAATCTAAAAGCCTGGATTCACTCTTTGAGAAAAGAACACATACAGTCTACACACTCCTGTCAAAATGGCAGGTTTTTGCTCTGCTTTCTACCCTATATAAAAGTATGAACTGAACTACAGACAACTACAAAAGAGTGTCTGAAAACACTCTAAAGGTCAGTGCAAACAAACCAAGTATCGATCTCTTTTTTTGAACTCTTTCTTCCTCTCCTTCTTTCTCCCTCCACCTGCTTCCTCCAGGCCAATTGTAATTCATCAGGCAGCGGCGTCCAGAGGAAACAAGTAGTGGGTGAGTGAGGATAAGAGTTTAATCCATCAAACCTCTTCCACTCCCACCTCGCAGCTGACTCAACAACTTCTCCCCGGGATTACAAACTCCTTGGGGGGGGTCCAATGCATATGCTTCGATCCGACTCACTCTAAGCCCACAGGGCTTCTGTTGGACGGAGAATCCAACCCTCAAAAGACAGCCTTAGTTTCACATATTTAATATGAAGCTAGACCGGCTGTGTGTTTGGTGTCCTGCAGTGGTATGAGTCAGAGTGAATCCAGTCCTACTGAGACTTCCACCTCTGCTCCTGAGCAGATGAGTAAATCAGCGAATGACAATATATACACAGATCAGAAACAACACTGTTGAGGAGGCACAGACCTCTGCTCTTTGCTTAAAGGGGCATGTCGCCCATGTTACAAATGAAGATCAGTTTAGTTCTCATGAAACGTTCCACTCAGCTTGTGAAAACAGTTGTAGCTATGTTTTTACAGGAGTTTTTAAAGGAAGACTTTGTAAAGCAAAGGGCTTTTTAAAGAAGTATTCCTCCCCCATGTAGCTACTGGATATAAGCAAGAATAGAAACTGGCTGGACATTGGACAAGCGTTCCAGAGGTAGCTTAAAAAGCACTCTTGTATATGTCATGACATGGGCGTCATAGAAATTAACGAGGGTGGCCTCTCTTTCAAGTGTACAAGTGTGACCAAACCCTTCCAGTCTGTCGTTCACCTGCCCCACCCACTAACCCCTCCCCTCCTCTCCTCAGCTTACACTCTTATTCACTTAAATAGCTGAGTACAGTGTCAGATAATTAGAGAGCAAAACCGGATAAGTAGCTGCCTCTGCTACTCTTTCAGTCTGCTGTAGAGTTCATTTCAATAGTCAGCGTTTTAAACAACAATGGCTGGATGTACTGGAGTACAAATAAAAGACTGTAGTCTGACAGAGTGACTCTCTCAGTCTGGGGAATTCTATCATCATGGCTCCCAGGTGTTTGATCACAAATTATGCAGCAAATGGCAACGGATGATGAAATTCCTTGGCTCTGCAGATCATACGAGTCAGAAAGATCTGCTGGTATTCTTTGGAAACTGCTGATTTAATCCACATGCCATTAACCCTGTGGAAGTTTTGCGTTCAGTGGAAGATCAACTGTTTACCGTAACTCTAAATAGTTTTGAGAATGAGTGACCAGCCAACAGGGACTATGTAAAAATGTGACTACACAAACAGAAAACCCATGCTCACAAATGTGCGTGTGTGTTTATGTGCACAATCACTCAAACGTCAGATGAACCTGCAAACACAAACACTTCCTATTCAGTGAGAAATGTATTTGGAAACCCTGTTTACATTTGGAGCGGAGCGCAGTCTTATGATTTAAACATTGCACAAGGAGAGCCTAACCTTCGTACTTCGGCACTTCACAGATGCGCCTTAAGCCCTCTGTGTTGGGGATTGGTGTGTTCTGGCATATGAACGCGTCACTGTCAACTCTACACACCCCAAGGCAATCCCATGAACCTGACACAAAGGCCAGACGTCCTACAAGGTGTGTCAACACACAGCATAGTGTGTAGAGTACAGCATGTCAAAAACCACAGCCATGCTTTGTCATTGTGCCGAGATTAGAGACGCCGTGGATAACTGTTACATCCCAGTAAACAGAAACAAGAAGGTGCTCCTCTACTGTAAACCATGACGGAGTTAAACGGAAGTCTAAACAACCAACGTGAAATCTGGTATGCTGCAGTCAACACTGGCCATTTGTTCATGTGTGTGTGTTAAACCTGTAAGTCAGGACAGGTTTGCACACGTCAGCCTGTGAACATTTCATCCTTCTGGTTGACGAAAATGTTAGAGGAAGACAAAAGGAATTAAACTAAAGCACAGAAACAAATACCAGATTTATCGTCAGCAGCAGAGGATGAAGAGATGTTCAGACTTTTAATCTCCTGTCTGTGAGAGTAATCTGGTATAAATTGTTAGAACTAATCTAGTGTTTTCAGTGTGTTTCCCTTCCTCATTAGTCAATCAGTTGAACTGTTATTTTGCCAGTTTTGAACCCAACTGGTAAAACAGAGGAAAGACTAGGTTTAAATGTAATCTGTGGTATTTTCTTAAAAAAATGATTTTGTAAGGGAGGTCTGGCTGTTGTGAGATTACTGCTTACAGTTCAAACATCACTGACTCCTTTTAAACTTTTCAACAGCACAAAACATGAGAACAATGTAAGTTCTGGGAGATTGTGGACCAATCACAAAACTATCACTGTATGTGTTTCGATCAAGGCTTGATTGTTTTAAATTAGATTGCCTGAATCTGACCACACAGAAAACTTGGGGCTAATTGTTTTATTCCAGTGCAATAATAATGACCAATGGTCTTTGGGTCTTTGTGTGGACTGTACTTAATGGGAGCCTGGGGGGGCAGGGTACAAACACAAAGCACAAAGGGTGGGAGCGGCCTCAATAGGGACCCAGCATCCCAATAAAGATTTAAAAAGTAAAATAATATTTGGACTGGGCATCTTAGGAAGAAATGAACCCGTTCTTGTGTAAAACTATGCAGGAAACATCTTGCAGGACATGTTTATGGAGTGACTTGAATGTTCTGTTTTCATTCTGACTACTGTGCTGTGCCTCTACATGAAACATAAGAACCTGCCTCTGATCCAGCATCTATCACAACACACAAATGGTTCTGTAAAAAAATAAGACCAAATCTGGTCATGTCTGTTCTAAAAAGCAAATTCCCTCTGGTGTAGTGAAAGGAAAAACACTGCTCCAGAAGAACCCTCACACAAATTACGATTGATAGTATTTCTTTCTTCTTTTTTTTTTCAAATGCACCTTAAACACTCTTTACAGAACAGAGAGTGGGGCATTTATCTTTCAGGACGATGAAGGATTTTTAACACTGCAACAATTGCTGTGATTATGTTTACAGCAGCGACAGGAAAAGGGAGATTATTATTCTGTTTGGTCTGTATCATATATCCTTAAAAAGAAGCTCCTTCAGATGAATGCTGTCTTTGATCAGTGCAATGCACGTCAAAATGGCAGAGGCTGATGGGTAAATGTGTTAGCTGTGTGCTGTTTTAATGTCATCTTATTATCTATGAGAGAAATGAGCAAATATTATTTTGCACATATTATATAGCATGCATGTTTCATGAAGCTGAGATGATGACTCTGCTGGTTTGTTTCATCATGCAGTGACATTTTGCCAACACAATAAAGCCAAAGGCAATGATGATTATAGAATAACAGGCGAGAACTGAGGTGCTGCTGAGCTGTAATCAGTTCCAACATGCTCTTCTTCATGCTGTCATGCGATCATCTATCCCTCTATATCCACTCTGTATATTTAATCATCCTCCTGCTCAGTCTGTATCAGGCTGTGACTGTTCTGTTGTGACTGATCTGCAAGCACATGCTCCTTGTAAACATAAGCATCTTGCTACTGTAGTGATTCCCTGCATGGTGCTTTTGCAGTGGATGGACACGTTCAATCAATATAATCCACTTAACTGGGATGGACACCGATTACTTCAAGGTTAAACAACCTGGTGTCTGCTGAATGAATAGCCATTGATAGGCTGTACGCCAAATCACGATATTAAAACCTGCTCCATTTGCCGTACCATTAGCCTACAGTATTTCAATGGGGACAGCTGTAACAAACGGATGTGATCTATTAGTGTTTATTTACATGGTTGTGTGTATTTGACAAGTTGTTACGACCCAACTGACATATCCTGGACGCCTTTTGCACGGGAAGCAGGTGGACTTATCTGAGTCCAGCGGGCCACTTCACAGTGCCTGTGAACGTAAGCACGGATGCACATTAATGGGCAGGAAAGGAGCGAGTTTGCATAAAACCAAAACACAATGCGGCCAGGATTTGTTACCGGCAATTACTGTAAAAGTCATTATGTTGGGAGAAGTGGTCCCCGCTGTGGCTGCTTCAGCGACCCACCCGGTGCCACTGTGCCAAGTTCTCCACTTCCCAATGACGCACGACGGGCGCTCAGAGATTGAGGTTAGAGGTCCCTGTGGAGCTTTCACTAATGGACACACAATCATGGTTTTCTCTGTTGCTTTGAACCTCGATTGTCGGGAGCGTATCTACAGGGTCATCCTGTTATGTTTTAAGATTACTCTTGGGATGTGAAAAAATTGGAGATCGTAAAGTGTTGGAAATTGGAAACTGTTAAAAAAAAAACAGATCCAAAAATACACGGCCAAGCAGATACAGGCGAATCCATAGCCTACTTTTTCCTATGATAGGATACTATTGCTATTTATGGATTTATTTTTTGTTTATTTATAGGCTATTATGTCCTGGTGAATGTAAGGAATCAAAACGATCTGTCATTGGTTGAGGTTTAAAATCTCAGAATAGAAACTTTGATAAATCACCAAACACTAAACATATAATTCCAAAACAAATAGTCTAGAACAGCGGGCCCCCCAAAAAATCAAATATAATCTTTTCATTCAGTTTATCCACTCACAGCACACCAGGGTCTCACCTGAAGCTGCCAGTCCAGACAGGACGGTGAAGAAATAGAGCCCTTTTACGCACATTGGATGGACGGCGGGCTGTCCGATGAAACAACAGACCGGGAGTCAGCAAACCTACTTGAGACTCCTCCGCCGACTCACAGAGGCAGGAAACCCAACCGACGAAACCTTGGATCCACTTTCGAGAGGGGTGAAACCATGAAGTTACGGTGAGTCCTCTGTCTCTCCAAAGACGCGTCCCAACTCGCTGCAGCCCTCATACATTTCATTTCAGCACCCTCCCACCACATTTTCGGGCGGAGTAACAAAGTCATCCACTCTCCTCGCTGCCTTCTTACCTCTCTCCCAGATTTTAAACTCAAAGCCGGCAAATTCCTGATTGTCACCCAACCTGTTCTGCTGCTGTGTAAAACACATTTACATGTCATACCACAGCTGTTGCGCAAACACGTGCAGACAGGTTAATCAGTAGGCTATTACTGTATTTAGATACCACGCATATTTCAGTCATGATCTAAAGGCATATGATCTGATGTAGCAATAAAAAAGCATGACTGCTTTAAAATGTGACATTACATGGCTTCATATTATTATATAGCTTTGACGTGATTAATGTACAATCACTGTGAGATTAAACCATCCTAGATTAAGTTGTATTTATTGAAATGTTTTATTTTAATAATCAAATTAAATTTAAAAAGTAAAATTCTGTTTATTAAGTCAAATTAGTCACAGTTTTAAATGGAGAACTCCATTTTACCATTTACCACAAATGCACATAACTCAGTGGATATCTGAATGTTAACAAGACCAAAGAGCTGAGAGGTGATTTAACAAATTTAAGGATCTTTAAGGTAAGAACTCGTTATGAGATGTTGATGTGATGGCTCTTGCTTTTCCAGTTATGGGAGATCAACAGAAGGCTGCACTATGGTTTATTCACTCTATGAAACTCTCTGGTTACTGGTTTTAACCACTTGGGGGCAGAGAAGCACTTTGATGTACATCAGCTCTGTGATTCCAATCTGACAGAAACAGGCTAGAATTCACCTCCTAGCTTTCTATGTCCGACATGGTTTATTGAATTTACAGGTGAAATCCTACTGAGTAAAACAATAAGCTATAGAATGACAAGAGCATTTATAATTACATTAGCTTCAGAAAGGTGTCTCAACCTAAACAAGACTCAATCTTTTACAACTTTAACTGCAGCTCATATAGATGTTTGACATTTTCAAATATGAACTAGTACCACTATAGGGTTCATAGGTTGTAACCAGCAGCTTAATTGATGGTTCATATGTAATTTAATGATCCTTTCGAATTCAAATATAAGCCATATATAAGATAAGGTTTTTGGTTGCCAGGTTGTGTCCGGAACTTATCCTCCTCCAGCGTGACACTGGCTTAATTTAATGAGCTCTTCAGTTCACCATGGACTCCTCCAGTGGACTGACCTCTGACCTTCTGGAGAGCAGCTACAGAGCATCTGGACCAAAATCCATATTCTTATCAAACCAAATTTCTTATCAACTTATTAACACTTACAACTGTAGACTCAGTGGATTACTGTGAGAGCCCCTTATTAACATTTACGATCATAATTATAGATGCCCCACGTTCAGAGGTGAGGACTTCTTGACCCTTTAGCAATGACTTTATTATTTATTCTGCCTTTATTAGAGAGCTGACTGTAGAGGGAGGACAGGAAATAAGGGGGGAGAGAGACAGGGATAGATAACAAATTTATTAATGACTTAACAGCCAAAAAGGTTTTTCACAAATGGCAACGCAAAAGTTTTCTTATTAATGGCTTATAACTAATCTATAGAGAATTGTTAATATATGTCACCTTTTATTATTATGGTATTTTAATACCAGTTTAACTAAGGGAAACTATGAAGATTGATTGGTTTCCTGTACGAAGCTAAAGATCTGTTCTATCAGACTGTGTTGTATGCTCTGTAAAGCTCAGCTCTGCTGTCTACTACTGTGGAGAGAAACGAGGAAGTGCATATAAAATCATGAAAACACAACTAACAAGAGTTAATGGTTATCATCAAAGACCATGTTTGCAAATAGAGGTAGAGGTTATTTCCTGCTCTTGTTTTTCAGTATGTGTTAGTATGATCGCGTTCATTAACAATCATTAACATATACAGCAAACAGTAAATTAATTACGTGTCCAAAATTACCTTGCCCTCCATTCCTCGGCCCCACTGAGGAACTCTTCTGCTTGTTCAGGTGAAAACTTTATGACCAGACGTCCCTCACGGACACAACAAATGATGGATGTCAGGTCATATCTGCAGAAGACTGTCAGGGATGGATCAGGCTGCAAAAACAAATATTCTTTCTCAGGTGTATTGAAGAAGATATTGACAAAACAGGGCTGACTAACACTGTTGTATATCAATTTGTAGCTATCCTAGACAAGAATGTATAGGGTATATGAATTACATTTGTTTTATTTTGAACACTTCAAATTACTCCATGATAAAAAAAAAAACAAATGCAATATTGCAGCATTTCGGATTCTTTTCAGTGCAGTAAAGAAGTTCCCTTCTTTTAGTGGTGAAGTCTTGGTTTATGCTAAACAACAAAAATAAGAACTACTTCATAGACAACAGTGATACACATTGTAAAGCCACCTGTTGTTAGTGTTTTTTTAGGTTGTTCTGAGTGACAAAGTCCTGAGTGTTTCGGTCGCATTAGTGCATTTTGGATGTGAGATGAACTGTCTGAACAGTTCTGAAAAAGTGATCTCAGTGTGAAACGATAACATGATCTATTCAGTATAATTGACACTGCAGTTGTAGCTTCTCTTTTTGATCAGGAATCGATTAGGAATCAAATTCTAAATCAATAGTAGGCTAATAAATGAGAGTATATACTATACTCATTCGGCTTTACTTCATTCTGAGGTTTAACTGTGAATTTGTATTGAAAAAAAACACTTCCTGTGGGGTGTGTGTGTCTGAGAGAGAGAGAATGAGGGAGAGAGAGAGAGAGAGAGAGGGTTAGAGAGAGAATCATCACGTCTACATCATTTAATCTTTCGGTCTTACTGAGCAGACATCTTGATGTTATTTGTATCCTGTGGAGGAGACATTCACGAATCTGATCTATATAATAATAAGATTCAGAGGTCGTCTTAAGAAAATGAACATTATGGGTGTTCAGTCTGTGCTCTCCATCCTCCTCCTGCTCGTAGCTACTGTGAAAGCTGAGGAAGGTAAAGGTGAGTAAATATCTAATTGCTCTGCAGTTGTTGTTGTTGTTGTTGTTGTTGTTGTTGTTGTTTTATTTTATTTCACATTTTAAAGTAATAAAGTTTAAATTCACTTGTCTGGATTCAGAACAACATAAACTCTGATAAAAAAAAATTGACATTTACGAGCATCTTCAAAGAAACTTCTCTAACTTCCTGTATTTTGCTTATGCGCCTTAACTGCTCTAACTGCTGTGTTGGAATTCACCCCACTGAACTGCTCTTCTCTCTCTCTGATGTTTTGATATACTTTACTCTTTGCTGTAGTGTATGGAAACATTTTATTTTGATGATCAATAATTGTATTTTTGTTATTTATTCTTGGCTGTTATGTGATACATTGCAGTCTCTGTGCATGTGCAAGACATCAGCATGGTGTAATACACAGTAAGACAGGGAGAAATGATCAGATTCAGACGTACTTAAGAGGATTTAATAGTTTAGCCTTGGGAACCCACTTCAGCTGTTAGATCGTCCTCCGTTTTCCTCTGAAAAGTAATGAGGAAGAGAGATGTTGATGAAGTGACAGACTAAACCAGAAACTAAACATCTCTCAATGTGTTTTTCATTTTTTTCAGTTGAATTCTGGAGGGAAAAATTCACAATGACCTGTCCAGGAAACGGGACATGGTTCAAGCATAGTGGTGACAAAACCCCAGCTCAGAGTCTGGCAGAGTCAACTACATACAGCATCGAGTATAATAGTGATAACAAAGGCTTATACTACTGTCTATTTAACGTCGAAGACCCCGACATCACCACCGACTCCAACACCTCCCCCAAAAAATATTATTTCTACGTGAAAGGAAAGGGTGAGTTACAAACTTTTTGATTTCTCATGATGTGCCATCAGAGTCAGTTCTCCTTACCGAGCTAACACACGACTTCAACTGCTGTTCTTTGTTCTCCAGTATGTGCAAATTGTTTTGAGCTGGACGCGACTCTGTTTGGGCTGGTCATCATTGTGGACGTGGTCGGGACAGTATTTGTGATGATCATAATCTACACTTACAACAAGAGAAAAAGCCCAGGTGGACCCACGCACTCTTCTAAAGGTAAAAAAAAAAAATTACTTGAGCAAATCACAAAAAAAACATCTTTATATCAGGTTGTATATCTTGGTTCAGTAAAAATTTACCTCATGTCCCTTGGACTGAAGTATATAGTGTATAATGCATGTTTTAGCACTGACACGTGCTGATACTTCAGTGAGTTATTTGCAGCTGATAAATAGGATTGTACGTTCACTCACGCAGCCGATGCACCCGAAGCAAATTTATTTCAGTTATTTCAAACTATCTAAAGCCTTAACCTGACTCTGATGGCTGTGGACTCATCACATAGATTTGATTTTACTCTTAAAGTAATTTAAGGAACCGTCTTGACAATAAAATGATTCATCTATCCTGAAAAAGAGTTTGCCTATATGCATGCACAAAGAGCCACATAGCATCCCTTATATACCTTATATACTGTAAATACTGAGTCTGATGGCACAAGTGCTTGGTCACATTATTTCTCTCACTCTGTTCTAGCACCTGCTCGTCCAGGAGGCCAGGGTCCACCTGTCCCACCTCAAGACTATGAGGTAGGTATTGTTATTAAAAACGAGATTTTGCAACGAGTACGAGCTTCATTTTCTGCTGCGTCATACATGTATTGTTTTCAGCCAAAAAAGTTCAACTTAAAAATGTGATCATAAATTATGCTAAAATTGCAAATAACCAAATGCAGAAAATAGGGTCAACTAGCGCTTGTTAGCTACATGTACTATATGTATAGTGAGATGTATAGGTATATTGCATTTCTGGAATTACTTTAGTTTCATTCTGTACCCGGAATTACTGTATGCTACAATGGGGCTACTTAAACATATAAGGTAGCAGAATCCATGCGGCAAAGAAGTCCGCTTCTCTTAGTTGTAATGAAATCTTACTTATTCATTGCAACGCCACTTGTTGTGATAGATAGAGCTAAGATGAGAAAATGTGCTTTTTATTGATTCTTTTCTTCCTCTTTTTGTTTTTAATTTTGAAAGAATTGTTCGACATAGTGGGAAATACACTGAGTTCGATGATTAGATAAATATCAAGCTACAGCGGGTTAGCTTAGCTTCGCTAAAGAGTAGACGCAGCTAGCCTGGCTCGGGCCAAATGTAAGACAAGCACTGTCAATGACTGCACGCCTAAAGCTCAGTGATTAACATGTTTTATTTTGGTTGCTTAAGCCCTAAAAAATATTTAGTGTAAAAGCAGCAAGTTTTTAAAACTCCAGGAAGTCTCTGTGCCCAGCTGAGAAATAGTGCAGTGTGTAACATAAACACTCATACAAGATAAAATCTTCTCATCTAACTCTCAGCGAAAAAGTCAAAATCATATTTCCCAAAATGTCACACTACTTGTTTATCCATCCATCCATCCATTAGCTTTACTGCGTGTCCAAAGAGGGTCGCGGGGGGGCTGTAGCCCATCCCAGCAGTTGGCTAGCTTAGCGCCAGACCTACAGTAAATAATTTGCTCATTGTGAGTAAAACTATTTTATTTTTTGAGGAATTCTTTTGAGGATTTTTTTTACATTCTTCCTGACAAAGTTTATTTGGACAATCAGCAAGTTTCCTCACGCCTCTGGAAGCTGATTTTTGGGTATTGTTATCTAGCCATCTGTAAAACTAGCAGGCCACTTGGAGAGCGCAGACCTCCGTTAGGGCCAGTGTCAAACAACATACAGAGACTTCAGAGAAAAAAAATTAAGTTCATAGCAAATGATCCAGATCGTTTAGGGGCTCTTCCTATCCCTATCCTTCCAGAAAGTTTGGTGCAAGTTTGGTTCAGTGCTTTTTGTATAAATCTGCTGACCTTTATGATCCACCTAACACTGCTTATGTTGTGTTTTGACAGCAACTGAACCCTCGCACTCGCTCCCATGACACTTACTCTATAGTGAACAGGACGGGATAGAGTCAAGTCAGCTGACCGCGCCACATCACTGGTTTACAGGCTGCAGGGACAAAGGCAAACATTCACAAAAGCCACACAAGAGCAAACATCACGCTCCCTGTAGCATCCAAACACTGGCTTTTGGTTCCAAGGATTTGAAGAGTTCGCAAAAATGGCAAAAAGAAGAATTTTCCCACTTAGCCCTGGTATTACCTCACCAGGTGAAGTAGTTTAGGTTTCAACTGTGCAGGTATTCTGCCACCACCCCAGTACAACAGTGGTGAATGGAAATTAGTTTGTTGTGCTCACAGTATTTAAAAATTACATTGAAAATCTACTCATCTATGAAAACTATTGAGTTGTATATGTTATGTTGCTGTAGATCAGTAATTCCCAAACTAGAGGCACGTCTGCAGTTACCAAGAAATACTGTGTAGCTCAGCTAATTTGAAAACATAGAAATCATGATTTCATAATATAATATAATATTGTATATCCAGATATTTTTGTTTAGGAAGGAAAATAAATGTGCAAATACTGTATTATTACAAATTGGTGTGATGTCAGTCTTCAGTGTATTTATTGTAACAATAATCTATCGTAGTCTGACAGTTTTCTATTGAATCAGTTGTAATAACTTGACATGAAGTGCTGCGATCGAGAGTGCATGAAAACTAGTAAACAAAATGCAGATAAAAAGCTAAACGTAACACGGCAGCTACGGGATCATTGTGTCCACTGGTTTCTTTGCCGTGAGATGCAACTGAACGATTCCTTAAAGGCATCACATCCATAGCTGTCAAAGGGCAGGGGTACTGGAGCCCATCTAAAGGGGCTGTGCAGGGTATGTCAGAAAAAGGTTGAGAGCTACTGCAGCGGATTGATTTGAATGTAATCTTTGAATGCTGTGAGCAACACTCATGTGCTGCTCATGTCTATTGTATTGGCGTGGAGGCAGAAACTTCAGCGACAGGTGTGTTTTCATATACACTCAGTGTTTACTTTATTAGGTTCAGCTGTACAGTCTAATGCAAACCAATGCATCTGCTCTACCTTAAAGTCTAATGTTATGATTCCAATTGTGTTCTGTTTTTTTTTTCATGTGTCTCTATTAGCGTACAGATTATTAGAGGCATAGATTATTTTTTGTGCTTTGAGTGTACTGACCCTTTAATATTAAATGTTGGCAGATAGTACTGTAGAAATCATAACTTTTTCATTTGTCGCATGTCATTTTGAATAGAGAGATATATATGTTTTCTGTACATACACTCAGTTGACAGTTTATTAGGAACACCTAGCCGAAACTAATGCAGTCTAATCCAACAGTCCTGCAATAAATGCCTCTTTCAAGGAGGTTATAATGTCACTTCAACCTTATGGTCATTTTGTAGGCTGCCATTTGTGGGACGGTTGACCTGTATTGCGTTGCAGGTGTTTCTATTATTTTGTCCAACCCATTTACATAAGTGAAGGTTGGTTAAATAACAGAAACACCTGTCGGTATAATGCGAAGTAGCCAGCACAGCACAGATTAGATCCTCCACAATGATTATATGTACATTTTTATGTCATTGTATGTTCTGATTTATTACACTGTAAAAATGTTTTTTTTATCAATCATGTAAAAATGTGTCTGTCCAAACTTATTTTGCTTTTTTATTCTCAGCTGTGTTTTTTTTTTTACTGCAACGGGCACAAGATGTGTCACTAATAAATATAACACAGTCAACATTGGTCTCATTTGTCACCTCTGTGCTCACAGTTGGAAACAATACTGCGGTGCTTCTACAGATATAAGTTCATGAGGTGACCGCAGCTCATATCCGTAGCACACCCACAAACACAGTTACCATCAATACATCTTCATCAGTCAGGTCTCATTTCTATTAATAATATGTTATTCTGTGTTTGGAAATATCTGACGTATCTCTGAAACATGACACAATGCTTACACATATATTTCATACAGTTTGACACAATGGAAATGTTGTGTCATGTTTTGGCATTCAGTTTGTACCTCTGTGTTTTTTACCAGCAGCAATGGAGCACAGCAGCACTGATAGATGTATTTCTTCTTCATGCATAAAGCTAATGATTGATAAATTATACTGTAAGTAGTTCAGAGGTGTAGCGTTTAGTGGAAACACTCCCACACTTACTGCTCAGTTATCTTCATCTGCATCTGCTGTGTGTTTGTCTGACGAAGAAACAAAGAGGTAAAGGGGAAGGGGATGAAAGGTTGTATACGATGTGCTCCTCTATCTGAGTGTCTTAAGTCAAACCGTTCCCACACACAGACCTACATCTGCCTGACGAGTGTGTGTGGTCATGAGTGCATGAAAGTGTGTGCACATGCATTTGAGTCAGAGGTTGTTTTTTGTGTGTGTGTGTGTGTGTGTGTGTGTGTGTGTGTGTGTGTGTGTGTGTGTGTGCGTGGGTTGATCAGGGTTGTGTTTCTGAAACGAGCTGTCTAAGCTGTGGTGCTTGATCTTTCTTCTCTTCTTCAGCTCCGGCAGAAAACTGCAGTTTGTAGCTTTGTCACAGACGTGTCAAGAGGAAGGCGAAAGACTCCGAGCAGTGATGAAAGAATTTAAGTTATTAGATTGTATGACATGGGGAGGCCTCCTCTAAAGTCACCTAGGGTTTCTCATCTCCTCCTCTTCTCCTTTGCCTCCTCCTCTTCTTTGTTGCTATTTTAACCTGTTTTTTTTAACCTTCCTGTCTGCGCTTCTCTTTAGCCTTGTTGTGTAATTCTACTAATCACTTTTCTCTCATTCTGTTTTCCTGTATCTTTACCTTTTGTGCAACAGACTCAAACACACATCTGAAAGCCAGAAGCAACTGGTGGAAGAAGCATTCAGCTCCTTAAAGTACAACAATACAGTAAAGTAAAAAAATACTCCATTACAAGTAAAAGTCGTAAGAAGTACAGTAGAGGAGGCTTCCATTTCTCTTATCTTACATCTGTCTGCTAATTACCCATGGCATTTAAAGAGGATTACATATCATATATCATTCTCGATATTTATTTGAATGGAAGAATTCAGATGTTGCAACTGACCCCAACGCAGACACAAACAGATCAGGGACTGTTGCAACATATTAAAAATACATTCAATTTCACTAATCAACTTTTGCTTGTTGTCTAAATAAGCATATATTTCTGAAAATATGCATTGTTTAACAATAATATTATAGTATTATTTACTTATAGAACAATATCATAATATTACTTGGGTTGGGGTCAGTTGCAACACCTGAATTCTCCCATTCAAATAAAAATTGTGAATGATATGTCAGATGTAATCATCTTTAAATGGTTTATGTAATTAGCGGACAGATGTAAGTTTATTATATAAAAGTTTGGCTGGTCTAGTCTAAATAGTCGCTAGGGTAACTGAGAGAAATACAAAAAGTGTTGCAACTGTCAACGGTCTCCCCTACAATATTTGCCTCTGAAATGTAGCGAGTACCAGTCATAAATTAGCATGAAATGGAAATAAGTGAAGTACAAGTACTTCAATCCTTGAGTAAATGTTTAGTTACTTCCCATCACTGCCACTTGCTGCAGACATCACGAGACAACGCAATCTTTATTAAATTTTTTTATTTTGCAGCACAGTAATGTCAACACTTTTATAATAAACATTTTTAAGCCATTATGTGTATAAAGAGGAAAAAGGGTATTCAATGAAAATGCCACATTTGTCGATCACATTGCTACCAAAATAAAGCTAACTGATACTGAACTATGACATACAGCAACATGTTAACAAGTTACTCACTATGTAAGTGGTGAAGTCACAGCTTCATCTTACAGGTGTATTGAAAATAAGTGACAAAAGATCCAAAGCAGTATCATACAGAGCAAATTACACTAAGGCTGAAAAACACCCGTCGCCAAGCTACACAGCAAAAAGCATTCCTCCTCTTGTTTCAGGGTTTTTTGTTTTTGATTACATCATATGTGTCTTTCTGACCTTTGTGTCTCAGACGCTGAGGGAGGAAGGATTAAATATTAGAATAAAAAATTAAATATTAAGATTAATATATATAATAATGAAATATTTCATTTCAAAATGATGATGGTTGGAACTTACCTGGTAATGGTCATCCCGGGATCTGCCTGCTTCCACTGGAACGAGATGCTGTCTATCAGAACCTGAGGATAGATGTATGGATAATATTAGTAGAACAACTAAGAGCATCAAGATGCAAAGAGGCTAATCTGATTATTACTATTTTGATTATTATTATAAGCACAGTTAGCTGTTCCTATAGACCAGGAAGAACGCAAAAAGTATTTTAGGGAATGCAAAACTTATTGTGAAGGAACAAACAATAGATAAAAAATCCATCGTGGCCTTATGGGGGCTCCATCATTTCCCCGTTTCTAAGCTTCGTGCTAAGCTAAGCTAACTGGCTGCTTGCGGAAGCTTCACATTTACCATACAGACATGAACGTAAATGAAATGATCGCAAATTCACATAACATAAAGTGGAGCACCACTTAAGTGTATACCATGGTGAGTGCTAACATAGTAGCTGACTTTTTATATTTTATTTTATTTTTATTTATTGTATATTCAAAACACAGAAAGTAATTCCTAGAACCTCAAAACATGAAAACATTTTTAAAATGACCATTTTACAGATATATATAGACATAAATAGATATATATATAGATAGATAGATAGATAGATAGATAGATAGATAGATGGATAGATACTTTTCTTGTGAGAAGTGGACTGGACTGGACCGGTCTGAGCATGACCCGCGATGAGATAGATACCCACTCCTATCCCAATCGTAGCCACCACATCTCCTATTACTATGCCCATCAAGGAGGTCAGGTCCAGCTCTATGCAGTTGTCACAGCCTGGTCACAGACAGACAGACAGACAGACAGAGAGAGAGAGAGACACACGCGCACACACACACACACACACACAGCGTCTTGAGAATCTGACATTTTTTTAAGTGTGATTACTGTTAAGAAAGTCTGTATACACATTGTAAACATTATAATACAGTATAAATTCAAGTCATAAATGTAGTAAAGTACATACAAATACCATAAAAACATACAAAATACATGAGTGCTTTCATGACATAATACAAGACACACACTTTGCTGCAGAACTTACTCCGAAATTTCACATAGATTTTTGGTAATTCATCAGATGATGGCTCGGTGTCTCCTTGTTTCTCTGGTTTCTTGGAGCAAGCGTACTCCCCTGAATTGTCATCGCTGTAGAGCAAATGCCCTCCTCCCAATTCTTCATTATCTTTATCTTTTACTACAAATTTGTCTCCACAAGACAACTTAATCCCATCTGATACTGTTGTCACTGTCACTGTCACCTCTGTTTTCTGGGCTTCTAGAAAAGAGAAACATTCAAATTTAAGACATTAAACCTGCACCATGTGCTGATTATTGAACTGCTTCCTGCAAATTCCCCACAAGCATTCTTTCATCAGGACAAATGTAAACATAATTTCACACATGCAGTTACTATCATGCAATGACATTTAACTGTTAAAGCAGTGTTCTTACCTTTTTGAGAACTGACAAAGGCTGTGGGAGAAATTAGGAAAGAAAGAAAACATTTACTTTATTGAAACTGTTAAACAATTTGGTACCATTAACATAATTCAGAAATTTGTTTCTTAAAATTAAACTGATATAAATGACAGTCCTCATTCTGATTTCATGTCATGTCATTAAAAACTAAAATTTTGACAGAGGCCTACCTGTCAGCGTCCAAAGCAGCAGCAAACAGCCAGGCAAGACTAAGTGATTTTTCATTATGTGTTTACTCCTCTGAGTTCTGCTGAAGACAGACGGAGATATTTCAGATCACTGTCAGGAAAAAAGCGAGAATACAACAGAAAACAGGAAGGGCGCCATTTTCTGCTGCCAGTCGACCATTTTATTCCACTTAGTGTAACAGATAACTGATGATGAAAGACAAATACAACCTGATATCCACAGCAAATTTTAAAATAAATGTACTGACCTCAAAATAAGAAGAGCTGCAGTGTCTCTGTTGTAAGAGCGTCTAGATCCAGTCCGAGTTTGTCAAAGTGTCTCTGTATGTGTGTGTGTGTGTGTGTGTGTGTGTGCATAGGAAGTGAGTGTGATTGGTTTATTTTTCCCTCTCAGCAGGCTCTGTTGATAGCTTCATCTGGAGGACTTAGTGTCTCTGTGACTTCCAGCAAATGACACCATATGTTAGACACCATGTGCATTTAACTTCACGCTGCTTTAAACTTCTGCTCCACTACAGTTGAGAGAGAAAACGTGCACTTTTTCCCTCAACGCCCTTTATTTGACAGCTCACAAATTACGATTTGACAAGTAAAACATATGATAAGCCTATAAAATATGATGCTTTGTTATAAACTACTCAAATACTATATGAAATAGTTCAAATTACTGACTTACTGCAAAAGTGAGGTGCCACTTATACATTTTTGCAACAGCATCAATAATGTAGTAATATAATATACATATAATAGTACACTGACCTCACTGGAGCCAGAGATTTACTTTTGTTACTTGAATGCATTTTGCTAGTAATACTTGCATACTTGGTGTGGTACATCGAAGTTTTAAGTCAGTTAGTTCATTAAAGGATCTAAATACTTCCTGCTAATGTTAGGATACACTGTAAGTGCAATTCAATGAGACTGGGTATGTAATATAAACTGTATTTGCAACAGTCAATTGTTCATTCATTCACTGTCTAGTACTTCATTTTCATGATGCAGATATTCACAGATTTAAAATGTACCCAGACAGTTGAACCTGGAAATTTCACCCACATGCCATTATTCATTTTGTCATAGCAGCTTTCACATTTTCCAAAACACACAAACAGAATCTGTGATTCAAAATAAAAAAGAACGGGAAATGAACTCACTACCAGCTTGATATAAGCTGAACTGACTGATCAGTCTGTTAACACTGACTGTCTAGTTGCTTTATGAGACGCGTGGAGCAGCTCCATCTGGTAAAACAAAGACATGAACACAACCATGTGTGTTCAGATAAATATTTTAATTTCCTGCATGTTTAAATGTTTGTCCCGCTGTGTGTGACTGCAGACTACATTCCCTGGTTAGCACAGAAGCAGCAGAGAGAGAGAAAGAAAGAAAGAAAGGAGATGCTGCCACAAATTCTGCTTCCTGTTTGAAGAAAAGCCACAATACCCTGTGACCTAGAGCTAACACCTGGCACACACGCACGCACGCACGCACGCACGCACGCACGCACGCACACACCCACACACACAAACATAAATTATTCTCTTCTGCACCTGCTACTGTATCATTCCCAGTAAAAAAAAAAAAAAAAAACATGCAACGATGCTTTCACCATCACACAACACACACTCATCCTCAGCACCATGCGTAAAATACACATCACCTTCATGACTAACAGAAAATCCTCCATATTTCCCAGTTTATAAATCAACTCAAAGGTGCCCTCTGGTGAGTACCAATAAAACTACAGCAAGTCCAGCATTTACTTACATACAATTTCAATATTATCTTTATTAGATGTCCTCTTTTATACACATATGCATATGCATACAAATATACAGTACATGACATGTTACATGTCCATATACAAATACATACTCTATAATTATGGACCACTTTATTTAGGTATTAGCGGTCAAAAATGTAAAATTTCACATACAGTACATTATCCTGGACATTCTGGTGTTAGCATAGAACATTTAATGCATTCCAATAATGCAACAGGGACGACGACGTTATGAGGATGGTGGTTACAGGAGGAAATCATGTCAAAACATCTCAGAATATGAGCATTTTTATGTAGAAATCATACTTTGCATTGTTGAGACAACACATTAGCAGTGTAAATACCCGAGCGCTCGATTCAGAGAGACAAGAACATGGACAGTTTTGTTTCGCAGACATGATACTCACATTGAGCGTGTTGATTCTGTTATCTGGTCCAGAAACTGATAAGAGCTCCACAACAACATAGCCTGTGGTTGCTGGTCATCCGCTGTCCAGCTAGAAGGTGACGGATGAGTGGTTGAATGACTGACTGGCAGTTGTTCTGGGTTTCCTCTTGGACAGCTGCACTGTTGGAAGCAGTTATGCATGCATGTACAGTCTGTGTGCTAACTTTGAGGTAAGTCAGAGCCAGATCTCCTCACTGCTTGTGCTGTTCACCTTATAGATGTAGCCAACCATCGGATACCTGGCGAAACCTGGGAATCATTGGGGAGAAAGTTTAAGTATAAATAATAAAAAATGCAGCAGTATCCAAATGTATTTCCCTGACCTCTGGCAGCGTAGGCTAAAGACAGATCTTCCTCCTCCTCTTCCTTCTTCTCTCCCACACTGTTCTGCTGGGCAGCCTCTCGGGCTACGAGAAGAGATGCAGGAAAGATGGAGGACACAGGAGGATGCAAGAGAAACAATGATTCTGAAGGGATAGCTTTTAGGAAATAAACTCACTTTTATCTATTTATTTATTTGTTTGTTTGTTTGTTTGATTAGGAGAGTGATGCCATTCTCATGTGACCCTCTTCACCTCCATGTGAGGAAGGATACGGTATGTGGTCATGTTTAGAATGAGACAATAGTGCTGTTTGGACTTGGTACATCATTTTTCACTGAATCTTGAGGGGTCCCATTTGTTATTGTTTTTCAACTCACTTTCAGATGCATCCATCACAGACAAGTACTCTTCTAGGATCTCTATACTGTATGTCTTTTTAAAGAAGCTGATGCTGACACCCTCTATGACGTTACATCTACATATCAGTTCTTCTAAGGATATTATTAGTAAATTTATTTGGGAATATGCATGTAAATAATAACACATGGTGCATATTACAAATTAATGATTTAACAAATCTCCAGATACTACAGAAACAAAACACCCTGCGAGTCTGGGACCCACAGGTAGGATCTAGGATCACCTGTAGGATTTATGGACTGAATAACTCACTGATTGTTTGTAGCAAGAACTTGGATCGCATTTTACACCCAGATGGAAGTTTGTTGGAAACTTTTGTGTGGTCATTCGCATCAAATTCCAGCACGCAGAGCATCCTATTGTGGGAAACTCTTACCTTTTCTCAAAGTGCTGAGGTCATTGAGCTGCATGTTGGAAGGCAGAGACATGTTCTCTCTGGGGATGATGTTCATATCAGCTTTCTCTGTCTTCAGATTGACAGAGTCACTGTACAGGAAATATGGAGCAGAGATATCAAACTCGGACATGAGGTATTCATAAGAGAACAAAAATGCCTTCATCAGTGTTTTCCTTCCAGTCCACTGATGTGCTGAGATGGAAGTTATTAGTGATATATCTGTCAAAGTGGTGTCAATTCAAAGAAAGTGGCTCTGGGAAAAGGGAGATTGGGGATATCCACTTCTTAATAATTACTTAACATTATAGCTCACTTTTTCAATACCAAAGACATGTGTGATTATGAATAATGTGATTATGTGTAAGGCTGGGTTTTGAGGCTGAGGCCTGGTGTCTTCAGTATAGTCTGCAGGACACTGTCCGGTCTTCACAGTACAATATGTGTGAGGTGCTGAAACCATGACAGAACATGTGACACGTTAAAGGAATAGGACATTTTGGGGAAATAAACGTATGCACTTTCTTGCTGATAGCCACTGCCAGCAGATGGTTAGTTTAGCTTAGCATAAAGACATATGGGAAATGGGTAACAGCTAGCGCCTGGCCATGTCCAACAGTACCAAAATCCACTTACCGGCTCCCTTACTTTTTGGCTTTGTGCAATCACTTCCTGGGGTCTCTGGTGGTTGCCTAGCAACCTCACTGTGACAACATTATTCCTTGGTAACTTTTGCTAAGCTAACCGGCAGCTATGGGTGTCTACATATTTAACACACAGTAATGACAGTGGTATTGACTTGCTTATTACTTCTTACCTCCTTACACTTTAGTACGTAAAGAATCACCACTTTCTGGTTAAAAGATGATGCTAGCTTTCTGTCTACAATTACAAAACAGTCTTTATCCAGAATCATCTGACTGTTGGACTACTTTGCTTCTTCTTAAAATCTAATGGCAGAAGTCTGATTACTTTGTTTACCTTTTCTTGGTCATCAGAATCTCCACTGGCTCGTCTGTAACATAATACAAAGAGATGTATATATATTACAGGTTTTTCTAGGCGACTTGCTGACTGCACACAAACACACTGCAGTCTCACCAATGGTCTTGCTTTTGTTTTTTTGCATGAGGCAGAGAACTATCAGACTGAGGATGAGGAGGGCCATGAAGGCCATGGCTCCCCCAGTCACTATTCCCAGCATGGGCACCTCCACACGAGACTGCAGGAACTCTGGGGAGAAATGGAGAGAGTGAAATAAAGGAGTAATTTGACATTTTGGGAACTATGCTTATTCCCTGTCTTGACAGAGTTCGATAAGAAGATTGATAACACTTTTATATCTGTACGGTAAATATGAAGCTACAGCCAGGAGACCGCGTAACATAATAGAGGCCTTATTGGTTTCCCTTTGCCTTTTACCATCCCTGACCTGCTAACGTGAGGTTGCTCTGCACCGTTCCCACACTGTTGCTGGCGTTCAGCGAGACATTCCCTGATAGGCTACTGAGCGTCACCCTCAGCGTGTGATTGGTCAGCCAGGGGTAGCTTCGTGAGTCCAGGATGAGGAAGTCAGAGGTGTTAGCTACCAACTGGCCAGACTGGTCCACGAAGGTGATGGTGGCAGGCGGGTTGGACCGTACCAAGGCGAAGAGGACCAGGGAGAGGCCTGGGTCTGAGGTTTCACTGTAGTGGGCGTTCACCCTGAGGATCTCTGGCTGGACTGGGAGACAGAGCAGAGGGATAACTCAGCACTTTAATCAGTGTATCAACAGAAAATAACTGCGTCCACATATAATCCTGAAACATTTCACACAGACTCACACTGGACGTTGAGTGTGACTGTGGCGTTGTAGCTCTCTCCTGTCCGGGGATTTGAGGCCACACACACTAGCTCCCTGTCCCACTTTCTGGCCTGCAGAGAGAAGGTGCTGTTGTGATTGGTCCCTGGTCTCATGACCTCAGAATCTTCCTGCGATGTCATCACCAGGCGCCCACGGTTGGGTGATGGCTCTCCCTGCGGCACCCCGTTCAGGTACCAGGTCAGCATTGGAGGGGCGT